CCATCTTCAAGTATATCAAGATAATTATAAATAGAAACAAGTTTACATTTATTTTTTGAATCTTCAAAAGATATCTCAGCTAAAAGACTAGTAAATGGATTTGGAATTGTGAAAAATATGGGAACTGGTGAGCTTGTGGAAGATGTGGAAATTGATGAGCTGAAATTAGATATTTTGACACAAAGAAACAGGGAAAAAAGATAGGATACTTTTATAGTTCAAAATTCTTAAACACAATTGCTTTATTGATACTAACCATTTTTTTCCAGAGGTTTGTCTTGATAATTATATGATAAAATAAATAATCTTACTTAATTTATCGAATATCTTTTGTTTCCAGAGATTTTTGTTGAACCGTTTTGGCAATGATTGTTATCGTTAAAATTATTAATTTCAAAAGTTATTAATTTGCCGAATGCCTTTTGTTCGCATTCATTATGAAAGCAGCATCATTATGTCAATTCGTTTGTTCTTGAAAAACAATTGGCATATGTATATATATATGGTTACTCCAATTTAGCATCTGAGCTATCATGTGACTATTGGGAGACGGTCCCTTCGAGCCTAAACCCAGACTCAAAAGCAACTCAGCAAAAGACGACTCAAAGACCGACTCACGTGAGACTTTTAACAGCTCTAATCCTGTCTGTCCCTTCAGAATAACCACATTAGCCTATCTAAAGAGCACGGCTGAAAAATTTTTGATTGTGTCACTATATAGCTTACTTATTAAAATAAAATAAATGCATAACTTACGATTTCTTAGTTATAAAAAACTGGGTGTCTTTGACTGGACAGTTTTTGAGAAATTAAATTTAAGTATTACAAGTAAAAATTATCGAAAAATTTACAAATTTCAATGTTATAATTTAATAATAAAACTGTCTTGGTATATTAATTAAATTGTTTTATCATTAAAAACTTCAAATTTTATTAGATTTAGGGCGCTGAAAGAGCTGAAGCAGCTCGAGCCAGCTCGTATATATACTCATAAAGGCAGAGCCAGAGTCAGGTTTTATGGCTCTTATTTAAGGCGAGCTGAATCATTACGAGCCCGAGTCAGAGATGTGACTTGGCTCTTGACACGAGTATTTGCGTAATATATAACGATAAATTAAACGAATATGTATAATAAAAATTCGCGACTTACAATCCTAATTAGGATAGAAATTCACAACTATTATATGTTTTTTATCTTTGATTTGAACTCTAGAGCAACGAATCCCGCCAGGGCGACCACCACATTGCGTGCTACGTGATAATTCTTTGATGACGTCAACGATGCGAAAAGGGTTAGGGTTTGGATCTGGGTCAAGGTTATTTGGCAAACAAAAAATGATTTATAGTAAAATTTTGCGAGCATTTTTTTTATTAGAACACAAAAGATAGTTTCATAGGCTAGATTTTGAGATACAAGTTTTTTTTTCAAAATACGTATGCCTTTGTTTTGTTTATTTTTGAATTTTTGTGTTACACGTTGAGTTTGCAATTTAATTGTTCATCATTGATAACATCATCAAAAATTATCACGTGACCAGAACTTTTGGGGTCGCCCTGGTGGATTCAGAACAATTCTAAAGCTCTGTGAGCCAGCCGAGTTAGAAATATGATACAATTCTTTCTGACTTCTTAAAACGAGTCAAATTAGACCCAATTTCAAACTCGGCTCTTTCGGAGCCCTAATTAGATTATATATTATAAGAAATTTTCTATATTAATATATATTTGAAAAGGTATATCTTGCAACATTAGAAATTTTAGTTGTACATGAACTAATTAACAAAATATAAAGCTTCTTTTTTTCATATGTCCTTATTTTTTGAAGTGCTTCATCATGAATTTGTAGTAAGCACTCGACTGGTGTAAATTGCATTGGATTTGTTGTTTTTCGATCGTATTCATAGAAAGGTTTTTGTGGTTTCATCTCCTCATCAAGTTTATCTAATCTGCTTCTCTAATTTAAAAGACTCTTTAATTTCTTTATGCATTTTTGAAAATGCAAAGTATTCGGTTGTACCCTCTTAATGAAACTGTTAATATTACCTTTTCGATAATAAATCTGTACCATCTGAAAATATTATCTGGTCGCATACAAAGTGTATATCATGACTACGTTCACCAAATGGTCGTTCACCTGTGACAACCTCGTACACAATTATCCCAAGGCTATAAATATTTGCAGCTTTAGTGTATGGCTTTTCCATTTAGTGCCTCCGGACGAATATACGGAAGTACTCCAGAAATTTTCGATCAGATTTTTCTATATCTGTAGACAACATAAGTACCATAATTTATTAGTATATTTCCAAGGTGAAAGTCACGATTTTACGTAAACTATTAACTAATGAATCCAATTCAATTATTGTAGTTGGAATTACATAATATACTTGCATAATTCATTTATCGTTATCGGATATTCATTTGTTAGCAAGGTACTTAGTTATTCCATAATTGAAACATTTTAGAGCAGAATCTATCTTTGAAAAATTTCTAAAGATGCTTTTTTGTTTCTATCCAAACAACTTTTTCATTTATAAACTCCGACGTAATTTACTCGATCATGATCACACTCGTATTTGTGAAAACATGCTTTATAAACCTCCCTTTACGAGTATTTAACAATGGTAAATCTTTCAAATGGAATCCATTCAAAATTACGTAATTCTTAGACTGTCGATCTCTTTGCGTTTGCTATGTAGAACATTCAGCTTTATAAATTTGTTGTGATAATAAAACAATGTTCTGCAGTAAATTTTTTCTGAATATTAATCGCAGTAGTAATTGGATGTATTTACTACAAACATGATTTAAAAACGTGGCGTTAGAAGTAATTATTCATGTGCAAATCGATCTGCACTTATCGTTCCATAAAATTTTGCGATCTCGTCAGAATGATAGATTTTTTAGCCAATCAAGTGAAATCCATAATTCTTTCAAACCCACAATTTTTAACAAGTGAAATCTAAGTATTCCTATTTTTGATATAAATATCAAATTCGCAATATGAAAACCATACACGGAACGCATCCTACTGCTGGTTCATAGGCTCTGCGCAACCCACCTTCACGCTATGCAAGAGCCTGGAGGAGATGGCGTTGGAGGATCTTCGTGAGACTTTTGTGTTTTTTTGCAATAACCTGTTTTCTTTGAACGATAGCAAAAATTCTTTTGAAGATCATAACGAAAATGAAATGTTTGAAGATTATAACGAAAATGAATGTTTGAAGATCACGATCATAACAAAATTAAGGTTGATGTCTCTATTCAGCTAAGAACAATAATGTAATGTTATTTTCGAAATCTTTGAGATTTTCACTTTCTAATGCAATAATGGTTTTGACAAATTGAAAGTTTGGTTACAAGAATTATTCATTCATTTCATATTATAATGAAATATCACAAGTTTGTTTATCAGAAGACACCATTCGTAATGTCAAGAGATACTACAACTATAAAATCGACGGATATAGTTCGCATCATCTAATGGACGACGCAAACATACCAAGTCTATCAAATCTGTCATACATTGATTTCCTCAATGTCAAGTACACCTTTATCGATTGACGCGATCTTTATCTAATCGAAATAAATATTGGTTCGAGAGAGAAGTCAGTGGTATAGTATTGGGAGTTTACATACGTACTAGACTCGGCAATATATGGCCACTTGGAATCAAATTCGGTCAGTTTATGCTGGTTTAATTAATGTTTCGGTTTAACGGGTTTGACTGTGTAGAATGCATCTCAGAATCACTCTCAAACTTTAAAAAAATAAAAAACACGTAGTGAAGAGATATCAGCTTAACTTGAAGTTTAAGCCAAAAAGGGATTATTGTGATGCATATTTTGTCGGAAAATTTTGAAACGAAGATGATAAACTTTGCGACAAGCCGATACAGAATGACAATCAGAAAAATGGAGAAAATGAAATAAATGAATCCATTCTAAAGCACAATTTTATTATACAAGAGAACTGTTTAAATCACATTGCCAAGTGGCCATCAACATGACGTTGATTGTATATCAGCCGATGAAAATTGATTTAGAAAGAAGTGAAAAGGATTTTTGCATCAAAACGTTTGCAGAGCGACTTATAAAAAGTGAAGATACTTTATGCACGATTAAGCCAATATAAAAATGAAATTTAATGTTTATATCTTTAATTTTAAATTGTAAAATTTTGCTAAGATCAATAAGCAGATCAAATTTGATATTAGATGACACGAATACACTTTGGTATTCAATCAAAAATTGTCCCAGCCTACAAACTACAGTAGGTGACAAAAGTTTTTAGGATTTACATTTTTATTTGTATTTGATGAATTTTATGAAAATTTAGAGAAATACACTATGAAATATGGAGAGTGGATTTGTTTAGGACTACTTTATGAAATACCTAAAAAAAATGCAGTAATAAAACTTTAAGAAGAAAAAATAATTAATTCTATTATGGTCTTGAATAAACTTGTTTTTTTATATTATAAAGAATGTGTTTTTATATTTTTATGATTTATTTATTATGTAAAAATAAAATAGTTTATTGCCAATTTTTATAAATTGTATCTTTATTCGAAATTCTATTAAGATATTTATTAAATGGTTTTAAGTAAACTTGTTTAAATTAAAATTATGCATGTTTTGTAATTTATGCGGTTTATAGTGATTTAAGTAAAATTGCTAACTATTTTTATAAAATTTATTATTATTTTAATAGAAAATTTAATCTATAATAATATAATTTACAATTTTAATTAGTAACTTTATAAAAAAGCTCAAAAAAATCTAATTATGTCAAAAATTGACAATTTAAGTGGAGTAAATAAACTAATAACATGCCTAATTAAAATGAATGTAATATAATTTTCATAAATATTCTTATTTTTCATAGTATAATGAATAAAGAATAAAAATATTTGTAATAATCATATTTTAATTGGCTAATTAGGATCTGAGTTAGGATTAGTGTTAAGATTCTGGATATGTGATTGGTTAAGAGAATAATCAATATTTTTCGAATCCAACTTCAACAGTTCCATTGAATAATTCAGTTCTAATAAGAGTTTTAGTTGCATGGCCAATAGAAATATCTAAGTCGGTCGCGAGAATAGGTAATCCAATAGCTGTGGGCAAAAAAATTACAACAAGTAATATGAGAAATTGATTGCATTGGAAATTCATTTTTAGAACTCTTTATTCTATCGAATTTTTTCGAGAAAACACTTCTTTATTTAGAAGAAAAACATAAGGATGTGGATCACTATTAAAATTTCACATGGTATGATGCAGACAGTCTAAAGCCATCCAATACTTTAAACTGTAAAGGATTTGCATCCTAACACTTTAATCACGAACAATTACGTTGTTAAATAACCTCTGATAAGAACTATAATATAACGTATTTTTTTGCGATTAAAGCAAATCCTTTACGGTTTAAAGTATTGGATATATTGGATGGCTTTAGACTGTTTGCACCATATATACGTACAGTATCACTACAAAAGTCTTTAAATTATGCATATTATTTTTATATATGCATGTAAATGTATCTGTGTATGATTTATATTCATAAATAAAATTTTTATTCTGATATAAATCAATTTTTGCTTAAGCAAATCAGTCTGAATTTTTAGAATTGCGCAAGAATTAAATTAGTCCGGTCTATATTTGAACCTCGTTATATTGACGTTATAATAAAATTTCTTTATAATAACTTTTCAAAACATATAACCTTATAATTAAAAACTCTTGTTGTAGTAAATTTTTTAATAAGCTTTTCCAAAAGTTTACTATTACGAGGTTCAACTTTATATATAATTTATCGGACATATAAAATTTGTCCGTTCTCAACGACAAAGCATCGCAGACTTGCAAAAGTTATACTGTGTACAACTCACTCTTGTTATAGTGAACGCTTGATATAGTGAACCTCTTGATACAGTGAAGAGTTTTTTTAGAATCATTACTAGATATGGCGCAGTAAGTATGTGATGCTTATTTGTCACCCGTTGCAACACAAAAATTTTATAAATCGCAACTAGTTGCAATTTGATGATGCTTTATTTGTCACCACGTTGCAACAGTTGCCGCGCCATCTTTAATCATTACTAAGCTCTCATTATAAGTTATAGTGGAGATTATTTTCCTTACACAATATAGTTAAAAATGATGAAAAGTTGTATAAGAATGATTATTCATCCAAGGAACCTAATATTAATATAATCATCAGAATCGAGATTTTTATCAACTTCTACCAAAGGGCCAACACCATCCCATCCAATACATCACCAAAACATTACTGACAATCCACCAAATTTTACTGTTGGAACCACACAACTTTCTAAGTTTTATTCAAATGATTTTCGCCACGCCCATCTGAATGGAAAAGGGGAAATCGTGACTCTGACCAAGCAATTTGGTGCCATTCATCATTCCAGTTTTTCTTTTCTTTGCACCATTATAAACGATTTTTTTATGTTGAGTAGTTAAAAAAGGTTTATGACTTGCATAGTGAGATTCAAATGATAATAATTACGAGTGGTATCAGGATGAATTGAAGTATTAATATATACAATTAGTTGATTGGTAATTTTAATAAGTAACGTTTTACAATTTTTTTTACAATACGTTTTAAACTTCGCTTATTACGTCCTGATAAAATTTTTGGTCATCCAGTACGTTTACGGGATGTGGAGAATCTGTTTTCTTAAACCAATTAATGGTATCAGGTACTGTTTGCTTAGGATAGCGAGTAACTGAAGCATTACTCTCCATATGATATGCATCAATTATTTGTTCACAAAGTTCTGAAGATAATTTTTTCATGGTAAGGACATTATGAATAGAAGAGTGAATAGAGTGTTTTTAATATACAAATAAAAGATCAAACAATGTAAAACTCAGAATAAAAGAGAAAATAAAAACAAAGTACATGTACATGTACGTAAAACATAAGTATTATACTAGATTTTACATTGATATAATTTTTATAAGTTAAATTACATAACGATAACGACAATTATTATCCTTATACGTACATGTATGACGATATAGTACTGTATAGTAAATGTCAATGTCAATGTCATTTACTATTTGCCAAATGACTTTGTCATTACAATATAATAAATAGATATCATTTCACTGCTATTGTAATGTCATTTAATTTTAATGTCACTGATATGTCATCTTTCGGCGGCGCTCGATTAAGGACCAATGTAACACCATAACGATAAAAGCAATCCTTGTTTTATTTGCTAGTATCTTTTGGAATTTAATTCAACCAGATTACACTTATTACAACAAAATCATTAATTTGCTTGGTGTAAACATTGTAAGCAATGACAAAGCGAGAATTAGTTGGTTAAATTAGTTGGTTAATGGCACTTCATGCACATGAATTGAATTGTTGTCTTTATATAACGAAGGTAACAGAATACTTTCCAGCTGAAATTCATGGAAGTTTTATAGTAATAACTTTTTTAACATGTATAAAAACTCCCAATAACTATATGAAAGAATGGTAATCAGCAGATTTTTAAGCAATCATACCAAATAAATCTAACCCGGATGCTTATTTGTATTGGTATTGGTAATTTTTGTTTTCATTATTTAAAATTTGGAAACTGACTGACTACACATTGAATATCTAAAAGCAACCAGTGAATCATCAGCTAACGCTAATATTATAGATGTATTTAGTTATATTACTGATACTAATTTAAATAAGCAAGTTCGAATAACAAAATAAATGAGAAATGAGAAAAGAATAAAAAAACCATATAAATTGTTAAAAAGATATTTATGAGAAATATTATCGTTATCTGGAGTCATGAAATAAAGAAAATTTACCCTTACTACCATTCTTTTCTTCGATTGATAATAGACAAATATTGTCTTGATTCAATAAAAATGAAAACTTCTCCCTTTTATATGATTCTCCCGACACATTTCAATAGGACGCTTATTATTTGTTGAAATTTATTTTATTAAAAATTAAAAATAATATACGGTAGTTTAGAAATTTGTCTCGTTGTTAACTGGAAATAACTTATGTTGTATTTGTATGTTGAATTTTTTGAGAGTAAATTTGAATTTCGGCGTCTTTTCCATCATTCGTTATTGATAATCATCTATGTGTATATTTGTGGCATAGCTAATAAATTTATCTTATTTGCTACGCTTTGGAGATGGAAACTGACAATTGTAAATTCGGCATCTATTCAGTAGTCATGTATGCTAGTGTTATATGCAAAAAAAATATGCTTATATTTTAATAAAAATAATAGCGACTATGCAACTCACAGTTACATACTTGATTTGCTGAGAATGAATTTACAAGTGAAACTCTTGTTATGCATGTAGTAAAGACTAATTAACATCTTGATATAGTGTTATGGGTAGATCGTAATTAGGCGCAATTGACGATTTTGGGTTGGGAGAGAGTGAATGGACTGAGTGGTGTTCGTTAGTTTCTAATTCTTGTACCGATATCGTTCAGTATGATGGTAGAGAGGGTTTTTAGAAGAGAATTTGGGAGGGTTCGGGTTCTTAGGTGAGGTGGTTTTGGGTTTTATATGTTTTATGTGACAGGTTTATAAACTATATTCTTCTATTAATTTTAATCGTTGCTTTCTTTCTAAAAGCCTTAAACTATTCAACAGAAGCACTTTCAATCAGTCAATATGTCGTTTATCAATTACAATGTCTTTTCTGGACCAAAGGACATAACCACAATCAATTACAAAACTTAATTTACTTGGAGAAGAATTATATATGCATCTTTTTGTTTACATCGTAAAGTATCGTTCTAGAATTTTTCGCATAATACACTCTATTATTTAAGAGAGAATCTGGAGAGAATTTAAGATCGAAAAAAAATAGTAAATAAAGCGAACTCAAAAGCGAAATTAAAATAGAAAACAAATGCGAATATCGTATAGAATTTGAAACGAATAAAAATAAACTAGCGAAATCGGCAGGCGGGTTTTACCAAAATTAACGAAGTTATGTCTAATCCGGTAACAATAGTAAAGTTCAGTCCAAAACAATATATAATAAATCTTCTCGTTATAGTAAATTTTTTGCTAATAGTCCGGACGCCTTTACTATAACAAGAGTCACTTGTACTAGAAAAAATAATATTAAATAGTGAACTTACACATACAAACCGACACTTGTAGCGTCTAAATATGCAAAATAAATTTATATCTAATCTTTGCTTTTCTAATTCAAGGCATTCAATACGAAGTATTCCTCTTTTTAATATTGTAAATGGAGACAATAAAGTCGTAAAGTTCCTCAAGATTGGTCTGTTTTCTGGATAATATCCCAATCTTTTTCAGTAATAGGTTTGCACCATCCAAGAATATTTACTTGGTCTTAGATCTACTCCTTCATGGATATCGTATAGAAGATATATCATAACTTTGCTCACTAAATGGTTATTCAGCTTCATACATAAGCATCCCAAATCTATAAATATCTGCTTTAGTGTATGGTTTTCTTCCATTTAGGACCTCTGGGCTATATAAGGAAGAACTTCATGAATTTTTTGATGAGATCCTTTTGCTCGTTCAAATTTTATTTTCTTCAAAGGATAGATTAATGGTTCGTCCATCAAATTGCCTTATAAAACTTCCTTTTGTAAGACATTAAACATTAGTGAATCTTTCAAATGGGAGCCATTCAAAAATTCTTCAATTTTTCATCATTCTTTTATTAGATAAATTCGTTCATGATAATCTAAATACATTATTTGAATTCGCTTTATAGTGATTATATGCTGTGTTGGAAGTCGATTTCTGCGTTGTGCTAAAAGAAGCGCCATTTCTCGATATTGTTGTGTTAAAAGATGTGCCATACCTTTTTTATTTATATTACCCCTACAATATTTGTTTAGATTGCATGCATTTGATGTGTTAAAAAACTTTTCATGACAGAGATTAAAGTAGTTAATTGGCATACCATCTGAATAGAATAGAAAAGAAAAGCCATTTCTTTAGTCTGTGAAATTATTGAGTTGCCCTTCTTTTAACACAATGGTTAAACAAATCAGTATATGAAAAAATCAGACATGTTTGTGAAAGATAAGGGACATTTTTTATGTGCGTTTTACAGGCACATGAACACGTTTATTTACACACACAATTTAAATTTCTATATATCTGTAAAACACATGTAAAGTGTCCTTTACGCATCTTTTACAGACACATCAGATTTTTTCGTATACAGGAGTTTTGCTTTTAGAGCTTTATTACAACCTGGCTGAGTTGCAAAATGGATTCTAAACAAAAATTTTGGTCTTATTGTATTTTATATTGGAAACTATATTTTCATACAATTTTTTTTGCAATGAAGTACCGAATTGCCGGATCATTTTTAATCAGCTATCATTAAAGCGATAGTAAATTAAAAAAAAAAAAACAAAGAATAGCAGATTGAACTCATTTATTTCTTATAATATTACTTTATTCACTTATGGCATAGTCTATATTAATTGATAAATTATATACTCGATACATCTGTACTAAGCTTATCGTTATATTGCATAATAGCATAGTAAAGTGGATAGTGTACATGATTTCTTAATCGATCATAGTTGAATATGATGTTTTTTGCACATATCGACAGCTTTCGGTTGACCTTCTAATGCTGCCAGCCTGAGGTAATATATACCTTTTTCTCTGTTTTGAATTACTCCATTTCCATTGAAATACATGTTTCCAACGTTATACATCGCGGTTGAATGTCCATTCTTTGCAGACCTCTCAAAATATTCCACAGCCAATGATCCATTTTTTTCGACACCTTCGCCTTTCCATAGACAATGACCATAGCGAAGTTGAGCCTCAGGCAAATCCATATCAGCTGTTTCTTGAAAAAATTGTGCAGCTCGTTTTATTGAATTTTCGCG